TGACTGGGAAGCTTCTAATAAACCTATGTACAGTTGCTACTTAGTATGTATCCTATCGGATAAAGATGGCGAAAATTATATCTGTTATTCTTTTATGACAACTAGAATAGTATAGAAAGTTTATCTGGGAATAATTCTCAGAGAAAACAACCAGTGTTCTGTTAAACAGTATCTTCTGTTGATTAAACGTCTTCAAAACACCAGAATACGATTATAGCGCAAAGAGACAAGGAAAAAATATAGTTTATATGTCGTGTTTAGAGCAGAAGCGTTGAAAACTCAACCTTCTAACTTTCCTGTTAATGTTTGGTTTAAACGCTATATGATATTTACACAATAGGCTTTGCTGTTAACCCTAGAAAACACCACCTTAAGTCTATATAAGTGAGGCCAGGAAGCCTGAGGATAGCGATAGTGGTTCGTATTGATCTCGTTAAGCAGGATTTAATGTACTAGTCATGTCATTCACAGACGGGGTGCTTTACCAATCGGTCATTTAATAACGTCAGTGCTTATAACATGTCAAAATGGCCGAACGACTAAGAATTACATCAAACACATATCCTCAGAGCGAGGAAAGCTGAATTTATATGCTTTATTTCACTATTTCCCCTCTTCTGTAAATCATTGTCAAAATGTAAGTGTAGAATTAACGTTATGTGTGTGTGTCATGTTTTTAACTAGTTATAATTAATTTTGTCTCAATTCCATAATGTTTTCGTACTATTCCGTACTTATGTTATTGTCTTTTATATGTTTCCTAGATACACACTTTCTTCCACAGTGAACATAACCATTTCTCCAAGCTTTGACATATTTGTAGTTATTTCAAGATCCAGTCGGATACCCAACTATCATTTAAGAACAACAAGGAACCTGTTGGTCCATCTAAGCCGTCCCATCCACTAAACTAAGCCTTAAGACAAGAAATAAAACACTCAACGCCAACCCTTATCATTAAAATATTTATCAAACCTTCCCTTAAACTTTTTTAAGTTAACTGCAGCTACCACATCTGAAAGCAATCCATTCCAAAAGCCAACCACATCGTTAGAAAAATTAAGCTGTCTCAGCTGAAGATGACTCATGCCCTGCAAAAATCTGTGTTCGTGGCTGATACTCCTACCATTCTCAACATTAAATACAAAAAACGGACGATGCATCAAAATTATCGCTTCCATTAAAAATCTTATAGCACCTTTTTAAATAGTCAAAATCAACTTCAAGCTGTTGTGATCATTTTACGAAGCTGTAAACATCTCTTGTGCTAGTTACCATGAATGGATGTTTTTAGTTTAAAATATACTGAGTTCGACTACTTTTTCCTTTCTCCTTTCTTCATTTTTAAACTTTCAAATCTCCCACTAGAATCGTTCAAGTTTTAATTATTTTTTTTTACATTTCTCATTCTTCTTGCCCGGGATGGCCAGGTGGATAGGGCGATCGACTCGCAATCTGCGGGTTCGAATCCCCGTCACACCAAACATGCTCGCCCTTTCAGCCGTTGGGGCGTTATAATGTGCGGTCAATCCCACTATTCGTTGGTAAAAAGAGTAGCCCAAGAGTTGGCGGTGGGAGGTAATGACTAGCTGCCTTCCCACTGCTAAATTAGGGACGGCTGGCGCAGATTCAAAACAAACAAATATTCTTCTTTGCTATAATCTATTCTATCATATGGTTAATGGTAGAATTGTAAGCACAACGCCGCTAGTATACAATAATTTAGTCTGGGTAAGCACCTCGTGCTTATTGCGAACAGTAGTAACATATCTTACGATTACTCTCCTGTTTAATTAATTCTGAACTACCTAGTTTAACTTACAGCAAGTTACCCATAAAAGTGATAACATTTTATTGTTTTTCCCGGTAGGAGGTGGAGAGTATACCGTAAATTTTTTTAAGGGACAAAACGGACACAACAGCACTACGCAATGAAACTTGAAACGGTGATAACTTCACTGTACACATCTTCCAGACTTTTTTTTTTTCGTACATTTATGGAACATAGAATAATACTGGTTGTTTATAAATGCTAAAGTTTCCAATAATACAGAAAAAATATTTTTTGCAGAATGTTATTTTTAAATGCTAAAGTTTCCAATAATACAGAAAAAATATTTTTTGTAGAATGTTATTTTTAAATGCTAAAGTTTCCAATAATACAGAAAAAATATTTTTTGCGGAATGTTATTTTTAGTATAGGTTACTGTGAAAGTTTCTTTGTAATTAATATGACAAATAATTAAGAAGATATGATTAGTAAATCCTACAAATAAAAATAACTGTTTTTGATATACATAACAAAATTCAGTTGAGTAAGCAATGTCGCCAATTCCTCGGTCTTTTCCCAGGCCCCCTAGTGGCACATCGGTATGTCTGCGGACTTACAACGCTAGAATCTGGGTTTCGATACCAGTGGTGGGCAGAGCACAGATAGCCCATTATGTAGCTTTGTGCTTACTTACTACCAAAGAAACTAACAATTTCCTTCAATATTCAGCCTCCACTTCAGTTTCTGTTGGAATGTCACTCCCTCTCGTAGTGTAAACTTCAACAATTCATGTTATTTATTATTATTTCTACTTTCTAAATTAATTATAATGTATATGGAAAAAAATTATAGTTCAAAATTTTAAATATTTATAAGTTAAGTCTTTGCTTACACTAAAACACAGGGGCTCACTTAAATATTTTAATTTTACTGGAATAACTTTCCAACTCATATCATAATTCATATAAAAGACAGTATAAATTATTATAATTATCGTGAAATTATTCGTAGTTTGGTGCCTGTTAGATGGTGAATTATTCTGTTGTAATCATAGGTATTATGTATAGGATGTTGGGTGGATTCTTTACGATTATTCAGTAAAAAATTATGCAAAGTTCAATCGACATATTGATATTGAAAGCGTTTTATTTCTCCGACTACAAGTTCTGCAAGTTGCACGTAACTAAAGATAGGCCTAATTTCATAAACTAATATCGCCTCAATAGAGGCTACTTACTTAGTTATATATATTTTTCATATATCTAGTATTTTGTCGAAACTACAAATTCAAAACTTAAATCGTTAAACTACCTAACTGACCGACTTATAAATCAGCAACAATCACTTTGATCTAACTCCTGTTTTTATATTGTTCAAATCGTTTTCTACACTTTCGAGAAATGTTTAACTATTATTGGTCTATTATTAACTATTATTAATGGTTTCCAACCATTATTAACTATTATTTGCAAAGCGCTCATTACGTAGGGTTAAAATCGCCCTCTAGCGAAATATATTACATATGATTAAAAAAATTTTTAAATTCACAGCTCACAACACTGTCACTTCTCTGAATTGTGAAATCCCTTGATTAATCCTTTTACACAAGCAAAAAAAATAATTAATTCATTAAATGTGTGAAATAAAGTACTATAATCAAAAATTTTAATAACAAAACAAAAATTTGAAAAACTTCATTCTTTACTCATTTACTCTCTCTAAAGTCTAAACTGTACATTCGACAAATCTTTTGACGGTTTTATTTTTTGTGGCTCATGCCTTATGGTAAGAAGAAATTACCTTTTGTGCTTATCTTGGGCATCGCCAGCATTTTTCGGAGAGGTGGGCGGTTCTGAAAACAATAGCAGACGTAGGCCTAACTAAGCCTTACTTAAGTCTGTAGAAGTTCATTACCACGTCATTGTCAGAGAGAAGAAACGCTTTAGCAAACAAAGGAGGTTATCATTTATAACACCACGTTTGGTAATTTTTACACAACTAGATTTAGTTTTCCGTGACAATCAAAATGCAGCTGAGGGGTTCTTTCATCCTCACCCCTCCGATGTCCATGACTAGGAGTAGGACTCTAGAACTTAGAAGTAGGAGGTATTGCATGCACCCTTTTACTTTTCGTTTAAACCCTTGACAGTTTGAGATAGGCGAATGACCAAATTTAATAATAAAGGAGAGGGAACTACTTGAATTAAGTACGACTTACTAACACAGACGTTTTAAATATAACATTTTAAATTTCTTGATAAATTTATCATCTTCTAATTTCTTGCACAAATTAGCTTTTAAGTCCAAACAGCAATCTGAATTGCTAATTACATTAGGACATGAACTATCAATCACAATTCTACCTAGGCTTACTGTTAATGGTTGGAGACGGCTTGAATGGGTAATGAAAAAAAACTTTATATAAGTTT